CATATCTTTGCAGATAGTCCCTTTCTAATAAATCTCTACAAACTATTCTAAAGTGAATGTGCCATCTGTTTCCTGTTTGGGTCCTATCTGATACACCTATTATCATGTCTTGGATTTTGGATTCTATTTTTAACTAAGTACCTTAGTTATCACCTCAATAGGGTTTATGGAGTGGATGCAAATAAAAGAAAAAGTCGCTGCCTTCTGGGGGATCTCTCATGTGAGACAGACATCTTCTCTTTTACCTTATTCAAGATTGAATCAATGTTTACTGAACAACTACTATAAACCAGACATGGCGTATAGATCCCAGGCACATACAAAACTAAGCCCTATTTGGCACTTGCCGTCATATTTGTTTATTTTCTTTCCTTTTTTTTGAGAGATTTTTGCTATAGTGTGCATATGTTCGCTAGAGAGATAGAGAGAGATGAAGTGAGAGAAAGTGAGAAAGCACCCCCTTATGGAGCTGGCCACACTGCAGTCCCTTCTTCTCCATTCTCCTCTTGGGATTTTGAGCACTCATGCACATGTGCCCAACATGATTTTCAAGCTGCCGGATCCAGGACACGAACCACAGTGAGCCCTGTGGAAGTCCCGTGCCTCAACCACTATCCCACCTGCTGGTTCCCGTATATCTTTATTTTAACTGTGTATTTGCAAAACAATCTAGGTGTCCAAAGAATTACAATTCACCATCCTGGACCAGGCAAAGCTTAAATCTCTCCATTCCAGTGTCGCACGTTTACCTGGATTAAATATGGCTAAGCATATCCTCACCACTGTCACTGTCATCACTGTCATTGGTCCATAATGAGCTGATAGTGAGCACATGGAGGGCATGGGCTTTGCCTCTGCGCATCTTTTGGGTTTAGCACCTCACAGTGCCTTGCTTGAGCCTGCAACTTATTTTGTCTAGTTGGGTCATACCACTAGCTTTGGAAACCTCTCTAATGTCTAGTTCATGTACCTCTACCAGTGTTCTTTGTTACCTCGGAGTGAAGAGGGAGTCTGACTTCTGTGTGCTACAGCCTATGGTGATAAAAATCTTCATTTGTCCTCTGTAGTCTACTGCCTTGAGAGCTTAATGAAAAAGCAGAAAATGATCAGCCTGTCTAGTTGTACCTGATACCCTGATCCTGGCCTGTTCTGTTCCTAGTCCCCAACTCCTAGTTTCTGTGTAATGATCTCTGTGGTTCTATATGGTAACCATTTCCTGAGCTTATAACAGAACCTCTTTTGTGGCTTTATCTATTTGGATGGGAATCTTGTACAGTAGAAGGAAACCCTTTTGGACAGATGGAAGATTTCAGTTGAGCACAAGTCTTTTCTCTATGTTAGTAGAGTAAAACATATTGAGTGGGTATATTTCAGAAGAAGGGGCATATGGTTAAATAGATTTGGGCAGTTGTCTTTAAACAATTTTTTTATAGTTGGCCATATTTTAGAAAAGCCTGCTTTGCATAGTTGAGTTGTAGCCACTAGTACCTCAGGCTATAGTGACAATTTTCCTACATTTCTCTGGATGCCTGCTAACTTAGAAGAGCTGCTAGAGTCACAAGACACAATATTAGGCAGGTCAAGAAAGAAGCGAGGGCCAGTCTGTTCCACAGTGGTTAAGCCATGTGCACTGAGAACTAAACTTCACATGGCTGACTGTGGTTAAAATCCCAGCCCCCAGAAAGCTTGAAAAACTAGTCAAATGTGCATATATGCATACCCCGAATCCTGACAGGGTAGAGAAACAGAAGGAAAGGAACATGGCATGATATCATACTAGACAGTGCAAATCTAGACCATGGACCCCTGGTTTACCATGGACCTTGGTTTACAAATGACGGGCATAAGGACCAGCAGTTGGCGTAATGGCTATGTCGCTGGACTCCCATGTAGTCGACCATGGTTCAAGTCCCAGACCCGGTGGCTTAAACTCACACCGGGCGCGTATGCGTGCGTGCCCAAGATCCCGAGAGGAGAATGGAGAAGGGATTGCGGCGTGGCCATCACCCCTGGAGGTTGATTTCTCGCTGTCTCTCTGTCTCTCTCTGTCTAGCAGCACACACGCCCTATAGCAAAAACCTCTCAAAAACAAGAACAAAAAATAAATGATGGGCATAAAATATTGGCACGGAGAGAAGGGAGGATTGATGAGGGAATTTAGAGGAAGCTGGAGGGAAAGTAGGCATTCAAAAAAGCCATGAACTGATGGCAGTGCCATCTCCTGTGGCAAAGACAGATTTTTTTGTTGTTGTCGTTCTTCTAAAACAACAGCCGTTTTATTATACTCATAGATTTTTGTGGGTCAGTAAATTAAACTGCAGAGTAGTGATGGCTTTGTCTCTGTCCTGGAGTATTTGGGGCATCACCTGGAAAGACTGGAGGGACGGGGGGCTGGAATATTTAGTGCCCTGACAGGCTGGATTCAGAGGGAGCTGTCAACTGGAGCCCCTGCTGATGGCCCCTACATGTGCCTTGGGCTTCTCCACAGTGAAGGCTTAAACTTCTTCCTTGATGAGACCGGGGTCCAGGAGTAAGAGTACCTAGGGATAGGTACAAGCTTCATGGTCTTTTATGATCTAGCCTCTGAGGTCAAATAACATCATTTCTAGAGGCTAGCAGGTGGTGTGGTGGTTGAGGTGCTAGACAGTCCCACATGGCTGACCACGGGTTGAGTCCCAGACCTGGTGGCTTGCTTTCTCACTTTCCCTCTATTTCTCTCTGTGTCTCTCTCTGGTCAAATTGAAAGGCTTAAACTTCTTCCTTGATGAGACCGGGGTCCAGGAGTAAGAGTACCTAGGGATAGGTACAAGCTTCATGGTCTTTTATGATCTAGCCTCTGAGGTCAAATAACATCATTTCTAGAGGCTAGCAGGTGGTGTGGTGGTTGAGGTGCTAGACAGTCCCACATGGCTGACCACGGGTTGAGTCCCAGACCTGGTGGCTTGCTTTCTCACTTTCCCTCTATTTCTCTCTGTGTCTCTCTCTGGTCAAATTGAAAAATAAATGAATGAATAAATTAAATGAATAACTATTAATTATTTTTAAAAAGCATCATTTCTAGTGTTTTCTATTAGGTTAAAGTCACAAGACTATCCCTAATCAAGGCGACAATACATAGACCTTACCTCTCATCAGAATAAATATCAAAACATTTGCAACCATATTTTAAAAAGCACTATGTATTTACCTGAGTCTTTAAAATTTATTTTTAAAATTAAAAAAATAGAAATCGTATATCTTTATTGCGTACAACATCTTCTTTTGACACACAGTCACATGTCATTTAACAAGAGAGATCCAGTCTGAGAAATGTGTGAGGTGATTTTGTCCTTGTGCAAACGTCTTAAGAAGCACTTTCACAAGTCTAGATGGTATTATCTGCTACATACCTACACTTGATGGTGCAACCTGTTACAAGCTCATGGGTCACCTTCGTATACACCGTCTGTCATAGACCGAGATGTCATTCTGTAGCCTGTGACTATATGTGTACTTTGTGAAATGGCTATATCAAGCTAATGAACATATACATTACCTTACATATTTATCATTTTTGGGGTAAGAATAAAGTGCATTCTCTTAGCAATTTTCAAAAATACAATGATTGGTAATAACTATAGTCACCATTTTATACAATAGATCTCTTGGACTTCGTTTTCCCTTTGTAACTGAAAATTTGAGTCGTTTAACCAACAGCTCCCCAATCTCCCTCTCCCCAGCACATCACCTGGTAACCACCATTAAACTCTCTGCTTCCATGACACTGCTTTGACACTCGGGTAAGCGAGACCATGTGGTATTTAGAAGACAGAGAGTATGGAGAGTCCCCGTCGTCAGGAAGTTTGGATAAGGCAGGGCCCTGAAAGCTACTTGGTGCTTTATGTTGAAAAGATGAAACCATATATTTATTTCAGAATGAACAAAGAGTTGGATAAACTGTTCAGGAAAAGAAGAAGCTTCAGTTAGTGAACTAAATGGAGTGGATATGGAAGGAAGAGATGATGGTGGATGAAGTAAAGTAATGAGGAAGGTGGATAAAGCAATGTGGAAAGAGAAAAAGGTAACATATTGGGAGAGGGGCTGGAGGAATAATGTGGCCGAGACAGGTGAAGGGTATGTTTCCTGGAGGAAAATTAGATATCAACTTTTATCCTCCTCCTCCCGCCTATTTAGTGTCACTTTTCTCCTGTACCCATGAGAATCAGTCAGGATCTCAGCAGAAAACACATGACATACTCAGGTTGGGCTGATTCGAGGAGAGTTTCATAAAGCAATCATTTACGAAAATGTAGACAGGACATAGAGCGGCACGTGGGGTAGTACAGGTGTCCATGGTAACAGGGGGCGGTGCTTACCACCTCTAGGCCTGAGTGCCAGGGGTCGGAGCCATTCCTGGAACCTAGCAGCAAGGAGGACTATGAGGACCAAGCTGTGGGCAGGAGCTATGGTTCGCGCAGCAGTAACAAGTCTGGATGGTAGGAAAATACTCGGACTTCCCTCTCCTCCTTCCTTTCAATGTTCCTCTCTCCAGGGCTTCATGGTCCAACCTCAAACAGTAGCCAGAGCACAGGTAATCTTGGTGAGTGTGTTGCATACTGGTCAACCTCCTGACAGAGTGGGGGTATATTCAGCATACCTTGCCCACTCTTTTTGCCTTCGACCTTTTCCTGCCCTCTCAGGTAACTTTTTTCTCCCACTGTTACTCAGCTTGCCTCGTCAACCTTTTTCTGTCTCTCATAGCTAAGACTAACTCCAAGTGCATGTACAGTATTAGCATTATAACTCTTCAGGTCAAGTGATCTGCATCTGTGCTCTGCCCCCTCCCCCAGCGGCAGAGACTCAGATTCTGTCACAAACCAAAGTTTTGCTGCTTCTGCCTAATGTGAGGTCAATTTTCTGTGCTGGAAGCAGCCCTGCACCTGCACCTGCACCTGCAACCAGGGATAGAGTGAACCTCAAGTGACCACAAAATAGAATCTCAGAACTTTATAACAGTTGTAGAGTACTTACCTGCCAGAGATGGGATTAGAAGTCATAGGGGCATTGCAAGTTGTTTTTCAAATCATTGACAACATGACCTTCTTGATACTCTTTTGCAAGGTGATTTAAGTATCCAACTTGAGTTGGAAGTGGACAGGAGAGATACATGGGGTGTTGCGGAATGTTATCAGCCGGGGCTCCTTGTTAGACATGGGAGTAATGGAGAAAGAATAAAAGGTAAAAATCACTTCATTAGTCCAATTTTGAGTAATTGGGATAACTGCATTATTAACTCAGAGAGAGATCAGAGAATGAGTAGTTGATTTGCTTGGAGAGGGAGGACCAGCAGGTGGTGTGGTGGTTAAGGTGTTGGACACTCCCACATGGCTGACTGTGGTTCAAATCCTGGACCTGCTGGTTTTCTTTCTCACTTTCCCTCTCTCTTACTCGGTGTGTGTGTGTCTCTCTATGGTCAAATTAAAATAAATGAATGAATAAATAAAAATAAATAAGTAATTAAAAAAAAAGATTTGCTTGGAAGTTGAGGAATTATATCTGGGCCATGGTGAGCTTTAAGTGGTGGCAGAATAGTCTGTGGAGATGTCATAGGAACATGTCTGGCGTTCAAGACAGTGGCTGAGGCTAGAGAAGCAAACAAAAAAATAAATTAAAGGATACACACACACACACATATATATATACATATATATATAT